ATCCGAACCATTTCATGTGTTTAGCATATTCAATGACTCTTCCGTCTTAACCAAATACCTCCATATTTTGATAATATAGAACCACCCATTATTTCGTATTCTTATGTAAAACCGAGCAGAAGTTTGATTTTAAATTATACGTCAGTTACATCAGACGTCAATATAGAAAATAATGTTCCTTCCACTTGAGACTGTGAAACACTAGTTTTAGATATGTTCCCTATGGTCATGTTATTACAGGAGACCTCAACATCGTCGAAGACCGTGAGGTCAAAACTTTTCTAAAGAAAGGACCGAAATACCGTCCTCCATATATAAGATTGGAAACAGTGTCGTCAGGTCATTAAAGACGCTCTGTCTGCCTACTGTATAAATTGGTGCAAACGTGAAAAATCTGATAAAAAATCTCTAGACAGTTATTTGAATAAAATTTTGAATACTGTTAATATTCGAATATCTCATTTTGAAAACAATTCTTAAATTAATAATAGGGTCCATGATATTCCCATTTCTAGAATAAAAAATAAACTCCAAGTACTCGCAGAGCGGTTTGTGTTCGTACCGGCAGACAAGGCAGCCAATAATGTAGTGGTGGTATGACGCATATACTACACGGAAGTTCTTCAAAACGAAATTATCAATTCCTCTACATTCAGGCCCGTACGCACTACTGAGAGTCAAATCGTTAACAAGCATATCACTGCCACTACCCAGCTTAAAGCCTCTTCCAAACATTTGAAAGTCATTACCATGTACTGGTTACCGAAATTACACAAAAAAAAACCATTTAAATTCCGTTTCATCTCCGCATCTAGTAAGTGTTCTACTACTAATATATCAGTGCTTCTTACTACCTCCCTTACTACTATCAAAGAACTGGTTATTAACTTTTATAATAAAGCTTATGAAAATAATGGTATTAATTATTTATGGGGTTATAAAATTTTTTAAGAGGTTTTAGATAAAATACATGCTTTTGATGTGTTTTTGGTTCTGTTGACAGTTATGATTTTTCTACTCTCTACACTACACTTCCACACAATCTAATAAAGAAAAAAATTTCATATTTAATAAAATGGTTTTTCGAAAAATCTCATTGTAAATTTATTTGCTATAACTCGTTTAAAGCCTTTTTCTGTGACGAAAAAGGAAAGTATGCTAGATACACTTACTGGAAATGTGAGGATATGATTGAAGCTTTAAATTTTCTCCTAGATAACATATATGTACGTTTCGGCGATAAAGTGTATCGTCAGGTAGTAGGTATTCCTATTGGCACTAACTGTGCCCCTTTAATAGCAGATTTATTCCTGTATTGCTATGAATCTCAGTTTATGACCAAACTCAGTACAGACACGTCATTGTTACATTTGGTTGATACATTCAACAATACCTACCGTTATCTGGATGATTTCTTGGTATTCCTAAACGGAAGATTTTATACACACAGAAGAAGAAGTATACTTAACAACAAAATTATTTTCATTTACCTGTGTATAATATGACGCAGGTCTCTTCAAAAGTGATGATTTTCTAAAAATTGTTTGACATTTCACAGTGATATCATACTTTAACTTTGTTTAAACCTGTTTAGTTACTTTTGACTTTAATTATTTATCCCTTGTAATTTTTTTTATTAACTGTGTATTTGCATTCAGGTGTCACAGGTCAAATTTATTCGTTCATTGTGTGTTAATTTACGTTTTTTGATTGAGTTAAGCCTTCCAATTGATATTTTATAGTGTGTTTTTCTATGTTGTGATGTTATACTATTGTTTCAGAAAAGGGAGAAGGTTTGGTACCATTAAAACGTTTAATCCCGCTGCAAATGTTTGCACCTGTCCTAAGTCAGGAATCTGATTACAGTAGTTGTCGTCGTCTGTTTATGTAGTTCATTCGTGTTTCTCGTTTCTCGTTTTTATATAGATTAGACCGTTGGTTTTTCCGTTTGAATGGGTTTACACTAGTAATTTTTTTGGGCCCTTTATAGCTTGCTGTTCGATGTGAGTCAATGTTCCGTGTTGAAGGCCGTACCTTGACCTATAATGGTTTACTTTTAAAAATTGTAACTTGGATGGAGAGTTGTCTCATTGGCACTCATACCACATCTTCCTATATCTATATACAAAAAAAAGCAGTCGTTCATACAATCGTTCAGAAATTAACGCTACATGTATACAAAAGCTATTTTTCTTTAAAAGCAGTACTAATTGCAATGACTGAAATGCAAATAGTGATTGCCTAGTCAGAACGAAACAAATATATATATACGGCTGCTGTGAATAAGAACAATGAATAAGATAGGTCTCCGATGTTTTTTACTGCAACTGGAGAAATATTGAATGTTTGGTATTTGTATACTAACTAATAAAAAATCAAGCTCTCCTAATAATTCAACATCTGTAAATTTTAAGCTAGCCATCACTTGTCTTATAGACCATAGCACTTCATTCAGCGTGACCATCGCACTTCAGCGTCCCCATCGCAACTCCGAGTCCTACATATAAGCATCGTTTGAAGTGAAGTTAATGGTCTTTCATAAAATGGATTTGGTGAAAACTGTTTCGCCAAAGTAATTTCGAGTCGTGTACTTGTGATTAAGATGGGAAATGTACAGTTCATGACTTGAATAACATTTAATGAAAATTTGTTTTTATTTGTTATGTAACCAAATTGAATGCTTACTGTGTTTTTGATGGTGTATTTATATGATTGTGCGTCTGCTACCCATTCCATTTAAGCAGCTTTTATAAGTGCATGCAAGTGTGTATATTTATCTTTGTGTGTAAGTACGAGTCAGAAATTGGTGTAGGAGATTTAATAATTTGCTTAGAATGAAAACCTTTGATTTTTTTGAAAGAGGAGTTTATGGTTTCCGCTGAGAAATCGTAACATTTATAATTCAATCGATGGATCCAGTTGAATATGTAAATACTGTATCTCTATAATACTATACTTTTATTTGGTTTTTTATTTGCAATGTTTTTCATTGACTCTATATGATAGGTACATATGAATGTTTGGGTACAGTTGCGATAGTTTGAGATGATTTTAGGAGGGAGCAAACATGTTTGACTCGTTTTATTAGTTGTTTTGAAATTTCATTAGTATTTCTTATATATGACTTACATGTTCTGTAATTTTTTTTTATGATTACAATGTTGTATTCCGTCTGTGAAACTAGAAACCATTTTGAAATTTTTGAAAATTTCTTTCTTTCGGGGCGGGGATGATATAATAATAATGAATGCAATATTTATAGAGCGCATTATATAATAACAACAATTACTCTAAGCGCTTCACATTTAAAAATAAATAAAATACAAAAATACATGAAACATAAAATACAAAGCATAAATGTATATTTAATTTTCGTCATTATTAAAGGTTGCTAGTTCACAGTTTGGTATCTGTATCAAACCAGAATTGGAAAGGGTCATTCCGGTTTGATAATTACTCTCTCTCTTATTTCTTGTCAGTGCGGGTAGCAGACGTTATTTTTATCGAGAGCAAAATATTACAAAAACACTTTTTCATTCGTGTTTATTTGTGTCCTTACCATATAAAAGTCTCCCAATGATACAGAACAATGTTAAAATAAGAAATTAATGTCCAGTTTCAAATAAATTTCACAATACAGCACACGGAGGTAAACATTACACCAAGGGGTGAACTGTTACATCTGTACGGACGCGCTCTTTAAATTCTCATAGTTTTCAATTCCCATAGTTGCTACGGATAACGGATATTATAGGGACGACATCTAGGTGAATACATGTTGTAACGGTTGGTAGTCGCTGTTATTGCTTAGGTTTGGACATGGCGTTGCCAGTTAATTTTCGACTTATGAGTTTCAATTTACTTTTGGTAAGACTATATATGTTTATATGATATCTTTTGTTTTAAATTACATAAATAGCAATGAAGTGAATGGGAAGTCTACATAAATAACAATGAAGTGAATGGGAAGTCTATTTCACTTTATTTTGAATATATTCAGCCAGTTCTTAATATCAGTATCTAAAATGCAGTTAATGACTTTGCTCATTGTTGAAGGCCGTACGGTGACCTATAGTTGTTAATTTTTATGTCATTTGGTCTCTTGTGAATAGTTGTCTCATTGACAATCATACCACATCTTCTTTTTTATATTAAATTTCCAAATACAATTTTGATTGTCTCTATGGTATCTTTCGCTTTTTTGAATAGACCTCACTAGACATTACCAACTTGAATACCAAAATTTTGTAAAAATACATAAGAGATGCTAATATTATTACATATTCGTTTATTCATAAAGCAGGCTGTCGGTATGCAATGGTGTCTCAAAATAACTGAAAAAGATTAGCAACATCTTTAAACTTCATGTTCTTCTATATTGATTATATCCGTTTTACTCTATAATGGAATGGTGGTGGCTATCTAGTAAAATTAAAGCGAAAACAATAGATGTGTTTCTTCATGCAAGAAAGTGAAAGGTTTTTTCTGTCAAGTTTTGAAGTCACTATTCAAAAATCTTACACAAAAAATGTATAAGTTAACCGTTATAAAAGGGAGGCTAAAGATACCAAAGGGACATTCAAACTCATAAGTCCAAAATAAACTGACAACGCAATGGCTAAAGAAGAAAAAGACCAACAGACAAACAATAGTACACAAAACACAACATAGAAAACTAAGACTGAGCAACTTGAACCCCAACAAAAATGGGGGTAATCTCAGGTGCAAATATCTGTGTAGCGGACGGTCACGAATATGCTTTATGTCCAATAGCCAGATCTTGTCCTCCTTTCTACAATTATTGACTTACCAGTGTTCCCTTGGTATCTTTCACCTCTCTTTTATCACTGTATGTTAAAGTCTTTTAAAGGTAAATATGGTGAATTATATAATAATGGCATCTTGTTATTGTATTTACTATTAGAATAAGGAGATGTGGTATGACTAGCCATTTTTTTTACAAATGAGTAATCACAAATAACACCTTTTATCAATCTTAGTGTGTCACAATTTTTCTCGTGATCATATTCCCTTTTATCATGAATCAGAATATATTTTGATCTACGGATAAAATGCTTGAAATAGTCTTATAGGAATTCAGTTTTAGATGTGCTAAAACTTTTCTGAGAAATCCGATTGTTAAAAATGAAAGAGTCTTATTATTTTAATTGTTGTAGTTGTTTTAATTTTTAAAAATCACTTTCTGCGAAGCATCATCTTTGATCTCCAAATCGTGCCATATTGGTTGTCCAAATGATACCAACTCACGCCATTTTCACCGCGAATATTGAAAATACCGTTAAGGTTGGACCACAAACATTCATTATACCACCATCCCGCTTTATATTTTGCAGCACAGTTAATGTGAAGACCATCGTAGTCCCTGTCTCTAGTACTGAACCTCCATCCATTATGATAAGTTAAACTATCACCTATAAAAATAAAATAAATATGCTTTCAAGCCCTTCATCCATTCAAAACAGTTGGTCGTGTTCGCGATATTAAAATATTGATCAGTGTCGAATCAGAAATATTTTACCTTCTTGAAATACCTTTAAATCTTTTTATGAAAATATATGATATTGTAAAGGATGTATCTTAATATTAAGGCAGCCATTTTCTCTGTCGTAGAATATTAAACTATACGAACTTTCAGTGCAAGTAATTTCTAAAAGATATAATGCAACAATGTTACGGTCGCACTCAAGAATTGTTTCACCTATACGACGTGACTGAACTCACAATAGACATGTATGTTTTTGAAGAAATTTAAACAAACAAAATAGTCTGCTATTCTCTATCCTAACATAACTGAGTTTAGATTCGCCTGATGGTTGCAGAATGGGAGACGCTTACCCTGTTGACTCATTCGGTTTTACTCCGTTTGGAATCAAGAGATTCCCTCATATTTCTTTTATTTAAGTGTGTCTATTTACAAGGACTGAAATTGACAGTTTATCTTTATCAATGGATATTGTTCTATAATGAACATTTTAATATATACGGAAAAATAAAGTGTACAAATGCTAAAACAGATCAACCCCTGTTGTAAAAAATTTGTTGGTAATAAAAATATATCATTCATAGACGAAATGTATCGATAGAAACATGTAAAGCGACATAAAAAACGAACATAGTTCAAATTAAACAAGCATTATGATCATTACATAACTAAACTGTGAGTACTTTGTTTTTATATGCCCTGTATCTATATACTATAATCCACCAACTCTATAACACTAATCTGATTCTTACCATAATCCTTACCAAACACAGTTTTGCTGCGGTCATTTTGTATTTGTATGTCATCCTACGATTTGTTTTTAAGAATAATTAATCTTACCTTCATGTAGCACCTTATCATCACTCTAAATCTTACTTTCACTCTTGTTTCGATTTGATATGATATGTTTCTCTATATGTAAGCAAGCATGGACATTATCAAAAATAGGCTAGAGTGAAAGGAATGAATAGCCATAGAAGAAATGATACAGAGACGAGTTTAGTGTGAGGAAGCAGCAATATTGATAAATATTATCACATCTGTCTATATATATATATATATACTTCTTATATAATTTTCGCCACTAGAAATAGATTAAGCTGCAACAACGATATGATTTAAAGTAAGGTAAGAAATGGCACTTTTTTTACGGTTTAATCGTCTGTTTCTCCAAATTTTCGAAAAGAGCAGTGTCCGATCTTTCTTTTATTGAGTGAGTTGAGTGACGCTTCAAAAAACAAATAGCTCGGTTTGTTATAATACCTCAACGATTAAAACCGATCACGCTTATCCAACTATTTCAAGGACTATTCGGCTTTTACACAGTGATTTCGACTCGTATTTTCGATATTTTCGTTTTTTTCTCTGCATTTGCAAGTTCAAAAGGGTATCATGCTTGGTATTGTTTTCACTACCTTCTCATTTCATATTTAGAAGTGTGTCTCTTTCTTTGTCAATGCGCGTCCTTAGTTTAGAACGCATGACGAATTTGAATTAATTTATGAAAAGTAACATTATATCTATTTTTTACACCATTGTTGTCTGTTTAATACCAAGACTCATATTTACTTTTAGTTAGATTAAGTAACTCCGACAAATATGTTAGTACTATTAGATTGGTATGTTGTTCCGTTTTCCTTTATCGGTGAACATCGATATACTACCTTTTTATTCTAATGTTGCTGTTACTGGCCCCGAAGTTATCGTCCTTTTGTGTTGTTTATATTCCAGAGTGAACAGTGTATTTCGTACTGTTTTCATACAGTCTCCACGTTTATTCATTGTATAGAATAGCAACAGAAAAAAGAGGCGAAACATACTGAAGGGACATAAAAAAAAAGAAAGAAAAACGACAAAGTCTATAATTCTTCAGAGTTTGATATAATTTGTCAAAGAGAAGTACATTCACTTATCTTATTCAGAAAACGAAGCAAGGTATTTTAATTTGCATTTATTGAAAAAAAAAATACATTATGATACCGATACTGAGTATAAAGTACATCGTACGATAAAACTGATGTTACAAACACACAAAAAATGGAGAAGATATACATTAGCAATGCTCATCCAAAGCAAACAATGAGTCCTAATACAGGTTTAAGATTAGAATTAATGTGATGGTAATGGCTAATATTATGGTTTTAAATTCAGATTAGTTCAAATTTGGGAAAAGAATAAAGGGATAAGGATTCTGTGGAAATGTACATAGGCACATTACATCTCTAGATTAATTCTAGCGAGACTATCGGAATCAACGCATCGATGGTTGAGAAGGTGGTAGTAGCTATTTATTTAAAAGAGTAGTTGTGTTGTAGCTGTGGTTTTCTCGAGACAACCGTAACATGTGATAAATGCATCGTAAAGAGATGAGAGATTGAATTATCGATTGGTTGATGTATAACGCAATTTTCATCACAATTGTCAATTTCGAGTCGGTCACTTTTTATAGTTTGAGGAAACCTGAGTACCCGGAGAGGAGCACCGACCTTCGGCAGAAAAACTGACAGCCCATGTATAATATGATGGAGTCGACTACAAATGCAACGTGCAGGATTCAAACTCACAACCGTGGTGTTGACCTACTAATGATACAGTAGTCAATCTACTTAGCCCACTCACCCCGTATAGAATAGAGATGAAAGGTTTGAACAAAGTTCCGAACAAATAATGTTTTTGATATTGTTTTACATCTCACCCCCTTTTTTTTTTATTAATTTTGTATTTACATTGTGTCATTGATCACATTTAATCGTTCAGTGTATGTTCACTTGTTTTTGTTAATATGTCTTTTGATTGAGTTAAGCCATTTCAATTGATATTTTATAGTGTGTCTTTCTATGTTGTGATGTTACACTATTATTTCAGGTTAGGGTGAAGGTTGGAGCCTGTTTAAACGTTTAAACCCGCTGCATTTGTTTGCACCTGTCCTAAGTCAGGAACCTGTTGTTCATAGATTGTCGTTAGTTTGTGCGGTTTATATGTGTTTCTCGTTTCTCGTTTTTTATATAGATTAGACCGTTGGTTTTCCTGTTTGAATGGTTTTACACTAGTCATTTTTGGAGCCCTTTATAGCTTGCTGTTCGGTGTGAGTCAAGGCTCTGTGTTGAAGGCCGTACTTTGACCTATAATGGTAGTATACCTTTACAAATTGTGACTTGGATGGAGAGTTGTCTCATCGGCACTCATACCACATCTTCTTATATCTAAATAAGTAGCTTTAAATTATTACTCCATGGAAACAAATTAAAAAACCAATTGAAATTAGTATCCGATCCAAAGCAACCTCTGGAAATAAAATACTTAGTATAACAAACAGACTTTTATCGACTTTTAAAGAAAGAAAAGAAATAGAAACTTTCTCCTTTGTTATAAAAGCATACCTTATGAATTATAATCGTCGCGTCCTCGCAGCGAATAATTTGTAATATTAACGGTACCATTTTTTCTGCACCAGATGTTGAATTACCAATTACAGGTGTATATTAAAGTTTTACAAAAAAAAAAAACAATATCGTCCCACTAGTTAACTTTACCAGCATTTCCACTGTAGCCACTGACTCTCAGTCTGTACTGTTGGTATGCGTTTTTCACCAAAAAGCTACTATATTTAGCATATCCCCGTTTTCTATTAAAGTTTATAACATCTATTCTTAATTCTGTATTCCCCATCGAAGTCAGTCTGTGAAGATTTGCATTTCCTAATAGATAAATAAATGTGCAAATACGTAAATAAAAATGACAAATATAGGTATACATATGATAATAGTAAAAACATACATGATATATAATCTAAACTGCTTCGCTACATGGAATTTCAAAAAATGTTTTGTCATCAGTAGTACTTGAAACCAAATCCTTGACATTCAATATCATCTAACTCTGAAAAAGCAATATACTTGAATTATCACCAAAAAGGACGCCATAACTAGTAATAAAAGACTTGTGAATCAGGAAAATTTTAACATTTTAGTTTTTTTACTTTACAATTTTTTTTTATCAGAATGAACATTGACTTGATAACATGACAGTATAAAAACACTGGCGAAGAGGGTATTGGTAACCTTGAGGTCTTATAGTTCACATGACGTAGTATAATGTAATTGTGAGGTACACATAGGCGGATCCTGGAGGGGGGGGGGGGGGGGGGGGGGCTGGGGGGCCCGGGCCCCCCCTTTTGTGGGAAAAATTTGGTTGATTATATAGGGAATCACTGAAGCATGACTGGAGCGGCCCCCCCCCCCCCCCCCCTTAGGTCAGGCAGTGCCCGACCACCCTTTATGTAAAGTTCTCGATCCGCCACTGGTACATTCTTAATCATCTAACCCAGCAACAAGTATGGTAAAATATAAATAAATAGCAGCGTTTAAATAAATCGATCTTGTCCAAAAGACAACATAACCAGTCAGAAGAATCCCACAGAAGAGACAAAAACAGATATACAAAAGAATGTCCAGAGTAAGAAAGAATATGCAAAGTCTTTTATGGACGAAACGCGCGTCTGGCGTACAAAATTTAAAACATGGTAGCTATGATGAATTCAACTAAATGTTCTTTGGAAAAAAAGTTAATCTTGTTGGATTCATTTGAGACAAGTTTAGACACTTTGATATCTACTATTTGTTTATTATTTATTTATTGACATATGCTTATTGATACTTTTTGTTAAAAAACAACAACAATGTGGACGTGCAAAAATATGATATTGCTTCATATTCTTCACTACAACAGGATTTATCCATGGAGAAAACCCGTTTTACTCTCTGTTTTAAACTTCTTTCGGTATCCTCAAAATTCTTAAGGCAGGAATTTCTACGGCAGATGTAAAAATACGTGAACAGAAAATAATTCGGAGTGTTGTCGAATCCGTTTAATACAGCTATTTTACTTTTTTACGAAAGGTACGAAAAAACGTAAAGGGAGCATCCATTACATTTCCACTATAAGACATAAAGTCTACGTAAAGGGAGCATGCATTACATTTCCACCATAACACATACATGTAGTCTACGTAAAGGGAGCATGCATTACATTTCCACTATAACACAAAGAGTCTACGTATATAAAGTGAGAATGCATTATATTTCCACTATAACACATAAATTCTACGTAAAGGGAGCATGCATTACATTTCCACTATAACGCAAAGAGTCTATGTAAAGGGAGCATGCATTACATTTCCACGATAACATATAGAATCTACATAAAGGGAGCATGCATTACATTTCCACGATAACACACAGAGTTTACATAAAGGAAGCATGCATTACATTTCCACAATAACACATGTATTCTACGTAAAGGGAGCATGCATTACATTTCCACGATAACATAAAGAGCCTACGTAAAGGGAGCATGCATTATATTTTCCACGATAACACATAGAGTCTACGTAACGGGAGCATGCATTAGATTTCCACGATAACAAATAGAGTCTACGTAAAGTGAGCATGAATTACATTTCTACGATAACACATAATGCCTACGTATAGGGAGCATGTATTACATTTCCACGATAACATATAGTGTCTATGTAAAAGGAGCATGCATTACATTTCCACTATAAGTTATAACACATTGAGTCTACGTAAAGGGAGCATGCATTACAGTTCCACGATAACACATAGAGTCTACGTAAAGGGAGTATGCATTACATTTCCACGATAACACATAGAGTTTACGTAAAGGTAGCATGCATTACATTACCACGATAACACATAGATTCTACGTAACGGAAGCATGCATTACATTTCCACGATAATATATAGAGTCTACGTTAAGGGAACATACATTACATTTCCACGATAACACATAGAGTCTACGTAAAGGTAGCATGCATTACATTTCCAGGATAACACATAGATTCTACGTAACGGAAGCATGCATAACATTTCCACGATAACATATAGAGTCTACGTTAAGGGAACATACATTACATTTCAACGATAACACATAGAGTCTACGTAAAGGTAGCATGCATTACATTTCAAGGATAACACATAGATTCTACGTAACGGGAGCATGCATCACATTTCCACGATAACATATAGAGTCTACGTTAAGGGAACATACATTTCATTTCCACGATAACACATAAAGTCTACGTAAAGGGAGCATGCATTACATTTCTACGATAACACATAGAGTCTATGTTTTCTCCGATTAAACATCTTCCTATTCTTAATCGAACTTATCTTTAAAAAATTAAGCATATCGCAAGTTAAACACGCTTTTGATATCTTAAATAAAGAAAAAGTTTCAAATACACTAAAGTCCGACACGTTACTTATGGTAACCACGATTACACACATTTGCGCTGGAAATGTTCAAGCAAGCGTTTCATCACTAACATTTTAATGAAATTATTGAAGTATGATACTGTAAATTTAACGACAAGATTCACAATTAAATTTATTTATTTATGAGTATGCTATCATCAAATTGTCAACATGGATCATCGAGATTTGCAAGACAAGGATGCTACAATTTTTTAAAAATTGATGTGAAATAAATCTAGGAAAAAATTATTTTGTAATGAAGTGACACTTGCAATCGCAGGAAACAAATGTGAAACGGAACAAAAACTATAGCCCCCCCCCCCCCTTTTTTTCACTTTTTAAGCTAAATGGTCGTTGCCTTCATATTCCACAAGATGATTCTGTTTTTAACAAGTAATATCTTCAGTTAATGCTAGATACGCAACTTATTTGGGGTCATTCTTTTAAACGTCGTTAATTTGTTTTAATCATATAATAATTGTGGACACAGTCAGTGGTGGATTGAGCATTTACAGAAGATGTTATCACGAGCGAACATGTGAAATCAAATGTCAATTCCATTGGGAGGGGGACAATTGATATGCACACACATACACACACCCGCACAAACAGCTTTTATTTAACTACTAATAATTAGATATAGGATACATGTCCACGAGACAATACCCTAGCAACAAATAGATGATCACCAACATCAATCCAAAAAAAGTTTAATATGAACGTTACGTAGTTCACAAACCAGTATGTAGTGGTAAAAAATCAGAAAAAAACACACAATTTAGTGTCAAAGAAAAAAAAAGTGTTCAGATAATTAAACTGTCTCTGTCTTTGACTTAGACCAAGGCAAAGATCTTAAATACGATGCTAGAAATATATCTGCTGAGTATGGACACTCGGGTGAGCCCCGTTCCTAAACCGCCCTTGAGCTCTAAATATAGTTCAATTAATTATAGATATTGTTTTGTTCATTTACATACACATTTAAACACCTAAATGCATATCAAGAAAATGAATCTACAATCTTGCACTATATATATTCTGGATTTAATAATGACAACTAAACGGTAAACAATAAAACATGCTTAGAAGATTGATAAATAGGTTGTTTAACGTTCAGTGGCAAATAATGCTCAGGACGAAAACGCTATTATACGCTGAAAGAACGATTCTATAATTTAGCCTTACTCGGGTGTATAGACACACCACAAGACGACTATGGGTATTATCCAAGGGGAGGCGGGGAATATCTGCAAGTTATTAAACTAGCCCCGGCATAATTTATCTTGAAGGTAATTTTCTTTTTCAATTTTACCATTTTTTTGTTGCAAATTTTTGAATTTAGGAAATATTTATTTTTTTATTTTATCTTATGTTTTGTGTGAGAGGGGAGCCCATTTATTTGCTTTAGATTTTCTTAGGCTAGTTAATGCAAAGTTGTAATTTTTTGGGGGGAAAGGGGGTGGGGTGGGGTTTGGGTTTAGCAAAATCTTCTAAGTTTAGGGAATTTTGCAGAGTAATCTCCGTCCCCCTTGTGGTATTATATTTCTACCTCTAGTACGACCCAAAATTCATATATCGCACGAAAATTCAAGTTTTACAAGTGCCGTTGCATGCTGTGTAATGATCTTTAATAGGCAAACATTGAGGCGAAGCACCATCGAAGTTCCATGACGCTTCAATTTAAATTAAATGAATATGTCATAATAAAGGATCCCTAAAACGAGTCTTACGTATGATTCGTCAAGCGTACGTACCGTACCTTTCGTCAAATTGTAAGAAAGCTCCAAAAGGCGAAGCGGGGACACATTATTTGTATTTCAATCAGCTGCTCTTTTTAATGATAGAATAAAGTCTAAATGACACTTACCTAACCAAAACTCATGCTTTACATCACCAAAGCCACCCTCATATTCAGACCATTTACGGTAAAAATCAACAGCTCCGTCTACTCGGCGTTGGAAAACCTACGATTTAAATTATATAAAACTTTACGTTAGCTATCAAAGTAATGAAGAAAGATATTTCATTTGAGAATCAACGTGAGAGAAAAGACATGGTTTAGAAACTTTGGCCATTTGTCATTTTTCTCTATAAACCTACATTTGAGCAGCACTACTTTCAATTGATTCCTAGTAATATTTTTTAAGGTTTAAAGATGTTCCTCATGATATATGTATCTCTTATCTTTTGTTAAAAGTTTTACAGATCTAGATGTCATAAACAATTGGACTGTTATGGAATGTATTTGTTACAGTTCACCATGGAGATATATTCCATATTTTGTAGCCTCAATTCAAACATCCATTCGTCGTCCACGGTTACAGAATACAACATTTCCATATTTCTTGTTGTCAATAGTAACAAGATATGTGCTACTAGTAAAACAGACACAGCTTACCAATCCGGTACTCGAGTTATTTCTTGTGTTTGTTGGGATTTGTTTTTTTCTGAATCTTTATCAATTTAACGTTTTTTTTTTATTGTAATTATTGTCTACGTCTTCTTTCGTTTTGCATTGTTTAACTCTTATATATAGTATGATGAAATGATAATTTACTAAATATATTTTTGTCACGATAAAGGAGTCTTTGTCCTCAAAAGTAATGAAACTATATATATCGTTATAATGTATATACCGTCCAACCGCCTCCGTCTGTTTTCATATCGCAATAAACCTTAAAGCTGGCACCACCATTTGGGTAGATTGTGTAAACACCATCTCCATAATGAGTTTTATCCAATACAGAGCAGTCCGTAGGTTTAAAATCTATCAATAAATAAACAGACTGTATCGATCACCACTTTTTATGTATAAAATTGATACAATGCAACAAAATTAGGTGTGTTGAATGGAAACTCTGTGGGCCAAAATTTTTAGAAATTGGTAAAGCAAAAGAGCATGATGAACCAAATGTGAACACATATACGAATGAATCAAAGCTGTTGTGGCATGTATTCAGAAGCGTATTCAAAATCTATACGATGTACAATGAACACACGGGTTTTTGACTCTTTCAAGACGCCAGAACTTATGGATGCTTTATTCCCTTTTCACGACAAATATGTTGTTGTTCTAACGAAAAAAACCTCAAATATTGTTTCTTTTTCATATGCGAAAATTAGTATTTGGAATGTCTCACTAAAAAATGGAAATCACAGCAAAACCTACATACATCCCTACATCATTTACAAAAGTGGAGATTTTTTGAAAATCCAAAATCCGAGATTCTGTCCTTTCTGTCCTTTGGTATTAACATTCGTCCTGAATATGCATGAAATATTTGCCACTGGACGTTAAGCAACCAACAATCAATCAATCATTGGTATTAACATAGAAAAGACGATGAAAATCTCCAACAGTGGATACTTAACTTTACGAAAATCCTAATATTGAACGAAATATATCCTGATAAACATATTTTTAAATTCTTACCACCATTCTTTTTACAGTAAAAGATAGCCTTCAGAAATATTGTGATGAAATTTTGCAGTAATAACAAAACTTTAATTTTTCAGCTCTTTCCACTGCTTTTCCTAATGCTCAATTGAAAGATCGACTACATGTGATTCTCACATCAAATACACCGAATAAATATTTTAGAAATATACAATACTGGATGTTCAGTCATTTTATTCACTTAACACAAGGTTTTTCTCCGTGGACAGACTAAAAAATAGGAACATTTTGGTATGAATGGCGATGAAATATCTGTCCAACAGAGACCAAATGACTTGGATATAAGCAACTTTAGGTCACTGTACGGCCTTTGACAATTATAAAAACCGATACTGTATAGTAAGCTATCAAAGGCTACGATAAGACAAATGTAAAACAATTCAAACGAGAAAACAATTATGAATTATCGAAAAACATAACTATAATTGTTAATTTCTGTGTCTTTTTATCTTTTGTGGAGAGGTGTCTCATTGGCAATCATACCACATCTTCTTATTTTTTCTGTCACTGGACATTAAGCCATTATAATCATATAATTCATCGATCGTTTTCTGTTGATGAGAAGGTGTAATACCACCAAATCATAATACGCCACATCCGAAAAAGGGTCGTAAATTTGACAGTTGTAGGAAATTTATCCTACATTTCATTGCAGTAAAAAAATTCTGAGTCATAAACATATATCTTGGATGTTTCAAAGCAACATTATTTTCTTATTTGGTGTTTCTATAGAATATTTAGAAAACTTGAGGTTACATGGTTACTAAAGCTTGTACACAGGAAAAAAAGGGGTGAAAATTTGATAGGTTAACTTCCAGTGATGGTTATTTTCTTATATGCAATGAAATGTTATGTGAATTTTTGTCTATAGTACTGGACAGGATAAAACTTTCCTCATGCCAAGTATTCCTTTATCTGAAAAAAAGATAAATTCTGCACATTTTTTTGAAAAGTGCAAATTTAACAAAGACTAATAGGGGGAAATCAATGGTGGTATTACACCATGCAGAAGGGAGGAATATTTTTACAATGTTTTTTTAAACAAGGGTTTCCTTTTTATCACGTCTTCCCTAAAACTATACGTCCTATTGGAATTGAAAACAATTAAAATTGTACATGGTATGCATGTGCATCGAACAAGATTTTGCAGTTACCCTTCAAAAATTTGTGGGGAGGAACACTATTGAATAACATGTAACAAGTAAAATACAGAACTCCAATGAAAATTCAAATCGGAAAGTCCCTTATCAAATGGCAAAATCAATAGCTCAAACACATCAAACAAATGGAAAAAAACAATAAACAACTGTCATATTCCTGACTTGGTACGGGCATTTCCTTATGTAGAAAATGATTTCGGGTAAGTACACTTCATTTAAACTTAGGGCAACACAATCATTGTGACGCATCTAAAATACAAATATATACAGCCAAAAAATAAAAAAAAAATATGGTGAATAACAAATAAACGCCATAACTGAATTAGCAATTTGAATTCATGACAGGTATAGTTCTTCTTCCAGTGGTCAACGTTACACGTTGTACACGTGTCATCGCCCATCAATATTACAAATCGTACATGTATATATAGCCTCGCCTTACTCGTAAACATATTTAATGCACTCATACTTCGCTTTCGTGCATTAAATAAATATTATGGTGTTTGGATGTATTAATACTTATCCACGCTTGCTATTTTTATTATTGCCCTTTGCTATGGTTTTACTTAGATTTCTTACAATCTCTGTTTTTACCCTGTGTTTCTTATATGTCTGTTTTGTTTTTCTTAAAACTTTACGTCGGGCCTTTTATAACAGTTTTTGTAAGAGTTCTTTTACAGCTTTGCCTATTATTTCTTATTCCGTAATTGTGATCCTTATTCAAAGTTACAACCTCCGGTCTTTTTTATTTTGCCTATACCCCTATTTAAATTATCATGATTTTATGTAATGGAAAGAAATTAAATAACAACCCAACTTCTAGGATATAGATTGTTAAACAAAAATGCACGTAATTTTCCCGTGCAATGCCAAAAAAATGACTTACCTGTTTTAGATTAACTTCACAAAATACTGTTAGGTCAACAGTGAACGGGAGAGCTTTTTCACTCTCTTTTTCCTGTGACATTGCCTGAAAAACTCAAAACCTTATATATGTGGTAACTTGAAACCATCGTAAGTGTGGTATTCAATATTTGGGACAGATGAGACGGGAATATTACAGAAGAAATCAAAAGCACCTTTAGCGATTTCGAATACCTAAAAAATTCAAAAGTTTGATATACCAACATTTAGATAAGCATAATCACAATCTAAAATTTATAAAATTTCAACCACTTGAAACCGTTCAGAAACAACCAGGACAATCACACAAGCAATTTGAAAAAATCCCGTGAAGTTCGCGAACTATTTTGGATAAAAAGACTTCAAACAGCTTATCCTCTCGGTTTCAATGACAAAATATTGGGACAAGGGAACATATCTAAAACTTCTATCGATGTCATTAATATTGTCGATAAACGACTAAGAAATAATAGATCTCATAGTAAACGCAAAAACCGTAATCAACGTATTAAACATCGTATAAATTATACACTTGCTGATCTGTTATCTATAATAAAAAATAATGGTAGACATCAAGTATTATGCAAACTGGGTCATATACCAATAAGTAAATTATATGCTATTTTTCAGGAGTGTGATAAAATTTCATTTTAGCCCGTTGTATGAATACACCCGTATTATTACAGCCTTTTGTCATTACAGTATATTTCCTAGTATCGATAAACCTGAAAATCATACACGACATTTTCTTAAATTAAAATATATAAATAGAGGTATTGATTTTATTAACTTATCTAGTATATTCAATGACTCTACCATCCATAGCCAAATATCTCCATATGTTAATACAGAACCACCTATTATTTCGTATTCTTATAAAAAAAAAACACAGCAGAAGTTTGATTTTTAGTTATACGTCAGTTACATCAGACGTCAATATAGAAAATAATGCTCCTTCCAGTTGAGACTGTGAAACACCTAGTTTTAGATATGTTCCCTATGGTCATGTCTTAACAGGAGACCTCAACATCGTCGAAGACCGTGAGGTCAAAACTTTTCTTAAGAAAGGACCTAAGTATCGTCCTCCATCTATAATAGATTGGAAACAGTGTCGTCAGGTCATTAAAAATGCTTTGTCTGCCTACTGTAAAAATTGGTGTAAACGTTAAAAATCTGATAAAAAATCTCTAGACAGTTATTTGAATAAAATTATGAATACTGTTGATATTCATATATCTCATTTTGAAAACAATTCTGAAATTAATAATAGAGTCCATGATATACCCATTTCTAAAATAAAAAATAAACTCCAAGTATTCGCAAAGCCGTTTGTGTTCGTACCGGCAGACAAAGCAGCCAATAATGTAGTGGTGGTGTGACGCATATACTACACGGAAGTTCTCCAAAACGAAATTATCAATTCGTCTACATTCCTCCACAGAGTGTCAAATTGTAAACAAGCATATCACTGCCCTACCCAGCTTAAAGCCTCTTCCTAACATTTAAAAGTCTTGACAATGTACTGGTTACCTAAATTACACAAACAACCATTTAAATTATACTTAATTTCCGCATCTAGTAAGGGTTCTACTACAAATCTGTCAGTGCTTCTAACTACCTCCCTTACTACTATCAAAGAACTTGTTATTAACTTGTGTAACAAAGCTTATGAAAAAAATTGTATTAATTATTTTTGGAGTGTTAAAAATTCTTTAGAGGTTTTAGATAAAATACGTGCTTTTGATGGTCCTTTTAATTCTGTTGACAGTTATGATTTCTCTACTCTTTACGCTACATTTCACCACAATCTTATCAAGAAAAAGTTTTTTATTTGTAACGAAAAAGGAAAGTACGCTAGATACACTTACTGAAAATGTGAAGATATGATTGAAGCTTTACATTTTTTCCTGGACAACATATATTTACGTTTCGGCGATAAAGTGTATCGACAGGTAGTAGGTAACTAACATACATATATAACTGACAAGAACGTAATCAATGCATCACTAGTAAATTATTAAGTCAGGGATTTCGTTACCATAAATTACTTAAAACTTTTACTAAATATTTTCATAGATACAAAGATTTGATTAGTAAATTTGGCTGTACCTGTAGAAAACTTATTATAAACGGTATTTCACATCCTAAATTTTACGGTAATATTGTACTAAAAGCGCGGAAATCATTATGTGATCCGTGTAAACTCATCGAACCTTTAAAGAAACTTATTAGTAAAGGTTATCTCAC